TTTCCATTTCTTAAAAGGATAGCCAAGAATATTAAAGGGGAGAGACTGCCTACAGGAATAGAGAAGGCAAAAACAGAAGCTGTTGTCTCTAAAGATAGTTTTAGTAAATTTGATTTTGTAAACATGTATATATTTTATGGTGTTGTGAAACAAAAACTCTAGAAGTCAGTCCCTAAATAATAAAAGTGAAAACTGAACAAATGAATCTATGCTGAAATGGTGGCATGATCACTACTTCAAATGAATTATTTCAAATGACTTTAATACATAGTAATTTTAATGTACATCTATAATGGGATGTACCTTAAGGAACCCAAATTACAATTATCTTAAACTATTTTCAGAAATCCTGTGGCTCATGGTAGTATTGGCTCTGTAATTCTGAAACTGTTCTGTATGTTCTGGGGATAAGCAAATGAATTATCGTGCTATGTCAATGGCAATATGGAGAAAAGGAGATGAAATATCAAAGAACAAAGAATTTGTGTACTGAATTTTAATTAGTGCTAGTATTACATTCAAGGTACAATTTACCTTTTAAGTATATGGTAAATAAATATGTATGGACATGTATAGATATGTGTGTGTGTATCTCCTAGTTCTGTCCTTGGAAGAGGCTTAGGCTTTGAAACAGTAATCAACTCAGTAGCAAAGACTACTTACAGTGTTTAGACTGAATTTTTCAAGTGTTTACCATTACAGGGAACCAAGGTTTCTTGATGAAATGGTTAATTCCATTTCATTAGGAGCATGAAATATACAGGATGATCCCCCTGTCATTAGGGGCATGGAATATAAAGTATGATCCCCCTGGTATATCTTGCTATGCCAGAAATCAAGGAACTACTTGAGAAATACCAAGGTCATGGCAAAAGGACTCATGAGCCAAAATGAAGAGGCCTAAGAAGGGGACAATTTGAATCAATAACTTTAACTTCAAGGAATCAGGAAATGTACAAGTTTGTTTAATTTTACAAGTTAAAAATGATATAAACTCCTCTCTTCCCACCTCTTCCCTGTCTCCAATCAGGAAAATAAGCTCACAAGGAAACCTCACTGATCACTTTTGAAAGATGCTAGGTTATAATAACCTCCTAAGTTTGAAAACTGGTAAATATTCCTGGGCTTATAATCTCAGCATTACCAAACAAGTAAGGAGGGAATCTTTCTGTTTCCAATAATTTAACTAGAAGGAATGAAAGAATTAAAATAAAACCACTTGGCAATCCCAAATTTTGAAAAGGAAATAAATCATGAATAAATGTGAGTAACTGTAAGGAGATGAAACCAGAGATGTTCTAAGCTTCTTGACAGACATAGATCACACCCACAGAGCAATCCCATAACATAACAGAACAAAAACTGGAATCAGTATCTGAGCTAACTCACAAGAAACAAGCATAACAAAGAAATATGCTAATGTCACCAGAGGACTCATCACCCAAATCCAGGCTGTTAGAAATTCTACAGGACAAAAATCTAGTTTCTTCAATTAAAAAAATTGTAATTAGAGAAAGAAGTGGAAAAAGAGCAATGAAAAGACTGATTTGGACTTGTGGAAAGGACTCTACAGACTTAAAGACATTTAAGAATTGTAATTCTCTATTGACACTATGGACCTTATTGGAATTCCTATAAACTACTTTCAGAAACATAAACTCACTTCTGATTGATCTTATTAGAGAGACCTTTGAATACTGACTGGATATTTAACATTTGTAAGGAGTTACAGTTCTCAATTCTGAGGTATTGTAGTAATTTGATGATGATGGCTACAGCACAAAGGGCTTACTTTTAGAGATACACACTGAAATATTTATGGGTAAAAAGATAAAATGTCTGCGATTATCTACAAATTTTAATCTGTGGGGAGGAAGGAGGTAGCACAGATAGGTAAACTAGTTCTTTAAGCTGGGTGATGAGACTATTTTCTGTACTTGAACAACTAGTAGAGTTTCAAAGAAGTGAAGTTAAACACACGATTAAAGGAAAAGAACTATTTGCCGATTTTTATGAGGAACAGGAGAATGCCCTGTAGTTACCTGAGAGTGGAGCGCCAAGGAAAACACATCTTTAAGAGGTTGACTGCTTATAGGAAAGCAGTCACATCTACTCTAATTATTCTCTCCATGCCTCACTGGTAAGACAGGTCAGAGTTTCCTACAAATGACCCTTAACACAGAGGCGACCACTGCACCACAGACTGACTTTCCGGGATGAGTGTATATCCCAGCATGATCCAGACACAGCCTCTAAAGGAGAAGGGGCTGTGGAGGCCTCAGCAGCCATGGTGGGAGAAATGCTGTGTGGAAGCTCGTGTGTGTGGTCGGGGGGCTATCCCCATGGCCCTACAAACCCACATAGCTCCAAAGCTTCCCCATGAATCTGTACAAGGAAGCAGCGTGGAGAATCACATCCTGCCAATAAAAATGAGCAGAAAAGCCCCTTGTTGGGAAAAGAAGACGAAAATCTTATAAAGCTGATGCAGTTACATTTATTTATGTTTTTTTTTTTCTGGCATCATTATACACTTTAAGTACTAACATTAAAATCTGATTTTAAAAAACAATGCAAATACTCTGAAAATGATTTTTAAGGCCTCTAAGAATAACTGCTCTAATTAGAGTAGCCTGAACCATGAAGAAAACTGAATCACAAAACAAAAAGTAGGGTTTGATACCCCACCAATTATTTATGATAACATTATTTTAGTTCTACTTTTTTCTTTCCCCCATGAAAACCTGGAGTTTGTGTTGGTACTTCTCAAGGGAGGAGTACCTATTTCACAGGATAGCAGAAGGGGTAAAGAGTAGGCAGCTGCAATTTGAAAATAACTCCAGGTGATCCTGACATCTACTGTGCGTCACTGGAAGACCACTTCTATCCTGGAAGTCCCTGCAGGCAAGGGCAGCTGGCTGAGGCCTGTGTGTAGCCAAAGTGCACCTGGAGTCATCAACATGGAAATCTGGCCATTACTATTTCAAACATTCCTTGAAACTAAGCTGCCATGTCAAAGAATAATGAAATACCCCTGCACTCCCTCATGACTCTCATACCTGCTTGTCTGCCCAGCATGGGGGGTGCTCTGAGCTGGGAAAGGTGGTAAGATGGGATCCCACCACAGATCACCTATTGGCAAGTGCACACACAGCTCTGCCTACCTGGACAACTGCTCCCAGCCTGTTGAGGGATGATGACAGGCACATGACTGCAGTGCTCTCTGTGCTCAAATTTGTGAGCATCACAGAATAGAAATGGAGGAAGAAGTGTGTTTGACCGAACACCAAAAACACTTCTTCCAGCTCTGCAATCTTCTTTCATCACCTGACAAGCCTAAGACTGCTCTGGTCTTTGGGAATGCTGATTACTTCAGCCTAGACAAAACATGCAGACCAACAGCCCCCTTCCTCACCACCATCTCCTGACGTTGTACCTGTAACAGCTGCTGATGGCTGATGCCAGATAGGCCTGTGTCTTTTATAACTACGGTTTAAGCACATGGTGCCTTGTACGTGGAAAGTTCGAAAGGCATGTTCTCGGTGGAAATGAGCACTCATGTGCTACCTATTGTGGGACTGTAAAGGTGGCTTAGTTTCTAGGATCCTTCTCAGTGAGGAGCTACACAGTCACACAGCCAGGACTACAGTCTAGATGAACACGAGCTGCAGGTGAAAACGATCGTTTTCCCCACAACCCTTTATCACTATAATTCTATGCAACCCAGAATTAAAAGTCTTGATCATATCAGTTAATGCTTCAGAATTATTAACTTTCAAATTACTTAAAAGCACCAAAATTATTAAATTTTACCTTTGATATTAAAAATTACATTCATAATAAAGTTAAAACCAAAGTACTTATTTTAATTGAGTTAACAGAGTAATTTCTCTCCTGCTATTTTATTAGTGATACTCTTCTAAATTTTGTAATTAAAGAATTACATTAGGACACAACAGGTACTTGGAAAATTTGGACTTAACGATCATTCAAAGAATACATAAACATTCTTTTTAGTCTAGTCACCACCATGTTTTTAGGGCCTGTGTCCATAAGCTATATTTCCCAGACTGGGCTAGATCTAAGAAGGGGAGGAGAAATAAGTCCCTTTGGACAGACAATGAATTCTATTTTAGGTGCACCAAGGCAGGGACATCTTGTCCCCTCAATTGAACATACACAGTCCTGTCCTGTTTCAAAAAAAAGTTGCAGTAAAAAGGGACTGATTCAAGGATCTGATTATTCAAACCGAACTTTGTAGGTAATAAGTGCAAACCTGTGGGTATGATAAAAAGAGGAAATAATCAGACTTATTGGGGAAAACCACTTGTGATATCTAGACTGCAAAGATTCAGAGTGGACTGCATACACTACAAGAATAAATATACCTGAAACAAAAATAAAATACAACAGAAAATAGCCAGAAACAACTAAACCAAACTTAGAAATATCCACAAGATAACTTGATTGTCATAATGATAACTCAGTTATTCTGGTCTTCCATAAGTTATACGCATGCATTTTCATAAGATGAACTTAAACAGGGCAAATAAGGACCAATGTGTCCATGAAAAGAAGAATCTCTCCTAGCTGAGCAACCATTCATATCAAATCAAAGGCCATAATAGCTACATAATATCTGCAATGGCTGGAAAGCATGGACATTGGATCAATATTTTACAGACTTCCTTCCTGATCTTTCTTCCATTGAAGTTTTTTTTTCATGACCATTACAAATACTTCTACATAGAAAATCTGAATGAATCCTTAGAATATTTTCAATTCTTAACTACTAGTATATTTATATTCTTTTGAGGTTACTGGAACTAATATTTTGACTACTTCTAAAAATATAAGCCTATGTCACTCAATTAAAAGCATTCAAATCAACCAGAATTCTTAGAGCTGATTAGGAGGTGGATTGAGACAAGTTAATGGAATAACAAAATATCTGAAGATATAATATCTATGCATATAAACAAAAATGTAATTGTAATACTTACCTATCAGCCCCTTCTCGAGAGTGAAGGTTTTGTTTGTAAACATGCATTCAAAAGCTACAATGTGAAAAATCTTGTTCACTGTGTTGTGAGTTCCAACTATTCGAATATACCTGGGGGTACAAAGGAAAGAAAATTCATTGAGGAAAATGAGCTTCTATCACATCCAACCCAAAGATAACAGAATACATTTTGTAAACACACAATGTACTCTGGTAGGTTAAAAGACTCTGAACTTGACTTTAGACCCTGTACCTGCTTCTGAGGCCAGCTCTAAGAGAGTCTAGAAGAATTACAGCAAATTTAGGGAAATGTTACTTTCCAAAGAATTAAGTAGAACTTCAATCTGATTTACCTAGAAAATCAACTCAGGTACTATTCCACTCAACCTCTGCATATGAGTGTAGGTCCATGAGACTAACAGCTTCTATCCTCCTGCGCACAGTGCACAAACACTCTCAAATCAAATGCTTTCCAACTTAGTAAACGATTTCAGCCAGTGGAGACAGATGCATGAAATCAATATTGCTTTCTTGTTTAAAAGAAAAATCCACAGAAACTGCGGAAAACTACTCCGTTCCTTATATTTTACTATCACTTGTAAATCCTCATTAGGAAGTTAACCCCATATACTATGCCAGCACCCTCCCGCCCCCTTGACTGCTGGGAATTCTCCTGACCAGAGGAACTGATCTGCAGAAGGAACCCAACCTGCTCTGCAGTCTCCTTCCTGGCCACACCGACGTGACATCTGCACAGTGCAGTCTCACGGGCGGGTCTTGAGCGTGTCGGCCTGCTCACCCCCTGCACCTCCCTGGTGGCTTCACCTCCGACCAGCAAGCATTAACCTTGGAGCAACTTGCTCCTTTCACTCTCCAAAGGGGCCTGATGGTTCACAGGTTAACGAACAGGCAGGCTCACCCATCTGAGAATCACACAATTCCCTGGGGAATGTGCTACACTCCATTACTGTAGTTCAAAGGAAAAACCAGAAAAAAATAACTCAATTGGCTGATTACACTCTCCCAATTGTGAACTATGTGCTCTGTAGGCTGGGGCATATTAAACAAACAGATATCAATTAGGGCAGGACAGGCTGGGCAAGGTTTTAGTCATATTCTTCATCGACTAGGTAAAACAACCTTCAGCTTAGAGGATATGATTTCATTTCTGAGTTGACAGCAGTTCACTAATTCACTAATTTCCTTAACATTTCTCATAGCTTTGAGCTAACTGTATGATGCAAATGCCGATCTGAAAAATTCACATTAAAGAGACTATATTTGGGATTTCTCCATCAAGGGTTATTTTCCCTCCTGTTTCTTCAAACCTGAATCTCACAGCATTCCCTGCACCCCTCGTTTAGCCATCTGCTCCTTGACATGAGCTGATGCCTCATCTCCATAACCAACGTAAGAGTTGTCTCCCCACTGGCGGTTCTCTGTCCACATACCCACTGCAGGGGACGCCATTCTTCCTGTGTGGCTGTATGCCCCACAGCCCTCCGGTTCAGCAGGAGGTTGGCCCAGATCTGTTTTCTGAGGACTCAGAGTAGACAGAAGGCACCAATTTCACTGGGTTTGGATGGGTGGGTAGGTAGAGTTCATGTAAAATAAGTCCTCAACGGTCTGGGTAGAACAGACTGTTGTCCTTTACTACTGGCAGTGACACTCTCGCTAGTGCTTTCTGGAAGGGAAAGGGTGTGTTAAGCCTGGCACCTTGGTCTGAATCTAATTTTGTCCATTTTCTTAAACCCACAGGAACTCAACCAGCATAGCATTTTCAACCGCACATGATCGTGATGGCCTGAGTGCTGCTGTCTGCAGCCCTGCAGGGGATGGAGGGAATGTGGTTTGGTGGAATCTGATCAGATCATTTTCCTGCTCCCAAGGTCAAATCTCTACCAAAGGGGAGAATGCCTTCCTAACAGTGTTAGAGGTAGAGGAGCCTGGAAGTGCTAACAAGGCCTTTCCCCTCTGTCATTTATTAAAGCTAATAGTCCTGCTGACCTAAGGGGATGTGGCGAAGCTCCCTTCCTCCCTTTCTTTTTAAAACGTTATATGGATTAAGGCTCCCCTATTTTAGTTAGCCATCATTTCCAAGATTTTACCCTAGTGCCAGTATCAAGAAGGGAACATAGAAAAAGGCAATCTTCCTTCCCTCTTTTGTCCCCCAATTATATGAAACTGAAAATAAAATAAAAAAAAAAACTGTACTGGAATACATTTTACAACCTTAATGATAGTGTTTGTGATAACAAACAAGATAATATATAAGGTTGGAGAAGCACTGAGAGGTGCCTCCAGATAAAAAGTTCTATATAAATGAAGATAATGTTATCTCTGCTGCATAATCCTGAGGTCAAATTAGCAATTCACCACTGTACATCACACTTCTTGATTAGCCTGCTATATGTAATGCTCATAACAAGTTTAATTATTCGGTTCTACAATACTTTCTAAGTCTCCATAAAATTATAGCATGATTTACACAAATGGTACAAAGTCCTTATTCAAATACACATTTAAAAAATAGTAACAATGTCATAAAAAAGAAGCCATGCTCCATGTCTCTAGCATAGGGAGATCTTTCCTTTATTGAAGAGCTGGACTAGAAATAGGCTTCAGTGAATTCTCCAGCTTCCGAGCTACCTGGAGCTGCACATGAAGCCCTCAGAGGGCCTGGCCAGTGCAGAAGAGGAGAGCCTGAGGCATGAGCAATGCCTGGGGTGGTTGGGGGGAGGGGGTGCAGCACAGGCACCAGGAGAAGAGAGCTTGATGCATGAGCAATGCCCAAAGGGCAGGAGGCAGCACAGGCACCATCTGACCCTGAGCAGTTTTCCTTAATGGGTGAGGATGGACCATCTCAGAGGCAGAAGAGAAGATATTATTTCCTATGTTATTGAAAATCCATGGGATAGGGAATGAGAGAGTGCTCTCTCTATTTTTTTCCAAACTTTTTTTTGAAAAAACAAAGCAAATTTTGCTTCTGGTTCACAACACTTAAACAGGAGCTATAGATGCCACATTTTCTCTACCACAAAGGATTCTGAAAAAGAGGTAATACTTCAGATTAATTTTTTTCCCTTTCACCATCAGCTCTCCAATACACAGTCAGACTCCTGATTTAACCTGATAATAAGGGCAGTGGCAGCTAGTAACTTCATCAGTGTGCGGAGAAGAGCACCGCTGAAAAATACACCAGTTCTCCTTTGTTCTCTCTGAGGTCCTCAACAGCAGCTCAGACAGTTGGAAGATAATTAAAACTTAAACAGTGCTGAGGAAGGCAGCTAGGCAACAGATTGGCCATTTCTGATGAGGATGAATGCTGTCCACATGAGCTCTCATGTAACAGTCTGTTTCCAAGTCTCTCCTCCCTTCCCCATGTTAGCTGTCTTCTAATCTCTCACAAAAAATGGATTCTGAACATGGTTCTGAATAGATGTTTCAATGAAGAAGTTTATAGGGTTTATAGTATTGTGAGTGAAGAGATTCTCTTTTCTTTAACAAAATGAAACCTAAGTCTTCCTAGGATAACACGCAGAAGCTGAAAGGCACTGATGGGGTCTAGAAAACCATGCCCAGCCTGACCACTGAAAGGAGTGGTGTCACCTAGGGGGGAAAAAGTTTTAAACCTTTGTTTCCTTTTCTCTAAAATGAGGTCAATACACAAACAAAGGATAATGAAATGAGGTAAGTATTTCAAGGGCCTAAAGCAGTGCTTTGTAGACTAAGATATCATTACTTAGAAATTCAAAGCCTAGATTGTTGGATGCAGAATTTTCTGGTTTGGCCTCTGAGAATGTTGGTGTCTGAGAGAGTAATCCTAACTGTGTGTCTAGGGTGATGTATCCATGAGGAAGGGCAGACTTCATGAACATAGGTTCGGATCTCATCCTTCCTCAGAAAGGAGTTTCTTTCTGAATGTGGATTATCTGGCTCTATGGTCTCTTCTGCTTTAAGTCCCTATTAGAAGAAGAAAAAAAAAAAAACTATTTAAAATGGCATGATTTAACTAGGCATGAGGAATCCAGGTAGGATCTTTAGCTCATATTTAGTCTAACAAAAGAATTTCTCACTGAAACACTTCTTTTTAGTGTAAGCCTTGGAGTTTTAATTTATTAAGAAACATAGCAATTTCTTACAGAGAGGCTGCATCATACTATGACCTACAGATACAGTGTCTGCCTGTTCTATGGAGGTACAGATTTCTAATCTGAACTTATGTTTCCATAATTTCTTGGGAGTATGTTTAATTTCTAGGTCACATTTAATACATCTTTAGCGTACAAAAGAAAATATATAAAATCAGTAAATTGCACATTCCCCCTTTAAGTAAATCCCTCAAGTCTTCAGTTCTGGAATATCACACACCTACTTATGGGTATAGTTAATGCATAACCTTTGCCTCCAGGTGATCACCTAACTTCTGTACTGAACAGGATCTACAAGATAATACTGAATTCACTATTCAAATGAACTCACAAGGGATCGACTAAAACCAAAATCTATCTTAATTTAATTCTTTGGTAAACAAAGTTTTATACTCAAATTGAACTTCATATTCTTGGGGTAAACAAAAACTCTTGAGAAAGCTAGAGTTAACTGGATATTGGTACACATAAAGGAATCATTAACATTTAGACTCTTCCACTGAGGTAGCCATAGAGAACCCTGAGAAAAAAAATTGTTCTCTCATGTTGTCAGAGGCAGTTCCCTGACAAGAACTTTAGCTACAGCATTTATTAAGGACTTGTGGGGTTTCCAAGATTCACCATTTCCAAGATTTCCTATTTGACCCTTTCAAGGAGTTACTAATAAGGTAAAAAAATAATTCTCTAACTTAAGGAACAGGTAATGTCTGTGGGCTTCCCCAATCTGATATTTTCTTCTAGGCCTAGGTATATCTGTTAGTGCTCTTAAAATCAGACCACAGAATAGAGCGGGAAGTGACTTCAGGTCTTGTTGCTAAGGCAGCAAGGGGAAAACAGTTTACTGCCAGAATGACAAAAAGCTTCTAGAAAAAGCATGTTGCAAGAGAAAAGATTTGTTACTCTTAGAAAACCTTCCCTCTGGCTGATCTGTGGAGCTATAGATTCTCCTCTACTGACTTC